GGTAATATCATTTGAAATACAAATATCTAATGTACAGAATAGTATAATAAGTTGAACTTTAGTCTACTTTGTATGTATAATAAGATGCTAATTGGTAGTATGCTAATAGATATAATATTTTTTAGAGATATCTCAAAAATTCAAGTCATAGGTTTAACTAGCCAGATTAATAACAAATCGAAACGGTTAAAATTGAACTTATTTATGAGTAAATAAATAATTCTTAATTATAATAAGTAATTCTTTATTTAACGTTTTTTAATCTTGAGAAATGATAAAATGTAAGAAATTTTAAATAAATTAATCTCTTGATTTCGCTAATGCTAAAATCGATCCATCGGAATATTTTAACGCAAATATCTTGAAAACCGTTTACCATTTCGAACTAAATGAAGAGCACCTGTTTTACCTGTTTTACGTTACGTAGATGTACCACCAGTAGTACTAACCTACTAGTACACCAGTAGTCTACCCTAATGGAAAGTGCTGTTACGGAATTCACAATCGCCATTCGCTTTGGCATAAAAATTAAAAACGATTTACCAATGTTCTTAAAAATAAACAAAATATATTATTTTTATTTAACATCGAGGGCTATCATTTCTTCGAGAAGCATTTTAGGGCATATGTTCATGGAACTTTTTGTTTTATTTTTATCAGGAAAATCATCCACCGAAGTTAAATACAGTATTTTTTGACACCCTGTATAAGAAATATGTAGCCTGAAGTTGTCGATAAAATATGTAATTTTATAATATATTGGGTGGTCCGAACTGTATTCTGGAAACTTCAGCAGCATATTCTGCAGATAAAAATAAGCAAAGAAGTTCGTATAAATGTACCTATATCCTAAAATGCTTAGTTTCGGAGATACTTACAGGATGTAGAAGTTTCATTTTTATTTCTATTTTTTCCAAATAACTTCTGAAGTAACGTCCATATTTGGATGAAAATTGGTATCTCGAAGTTTTTTGACATGAGAAATTTGATTTTCATGTCAATATGACTCCTATTTGTAGGGGGCGCCATTTACATGTGTTTTGACTGTTTTGAAGTGTAATAACTTTTCGTCCGTACCTGTATAAAACTACTGAGTAAAAAAATCTACATTTAAGACTTTTTTTAAAAAATGTCTCTTGGTAAAAATCTCTACGAGCAACCGTTCTCAAGATATTTAGAATGGAAATAGTCAATACATGTCATTATTGACAAAAATAAACACGTTGAGTAGATAGTTATTTGACTGAAACAATGAATTTGGGAAATTTTTATTTTTTAAAATTAGTCATAAATTTTTCTTCGAAAAAATGATGATAAAACAGTTTCTGTTGAACTTTTAGCACAAAACATTTCAAATTTATGATTTCAGTCTAATAACTATTTAGTCAACATGTTTAATAATTTATGTCAATGATGACAGGTATTGATAATTTCGGTTCCAAATATCTCGAGAACCATGATTCGTAGCGATTTTTACCAAGAGACTTTTTTTAGGTAAAAAAAGTCTTAAATGTAGATTTTTTTACTCAGTAGTTTTATACAGGTACGGGCGAAAAGATATTACTCTTCAAAACAGTTAAAACACATGTAGCTGGCACCCCAACAAATGATGTAGGGGTGATGAAAATCAAATTCTTCATGTCAAAAAACTCCTACACACCAATTTTCATCCAAATATTGACGTTACTTCATAAATTATTTGGAAAAAATCGAAATAAAAATAAATCTTCTAAACTCTGTATCTCCGAAACTAAGCATTTTAGGACATATATTTATACGAAATTTTTTACTTATTTTTATCTGCAGAATATGCTGCAGAAGTTTCCGGAATACAGTTCGGACCACCCTGTATATTAAAATCAAAAATAAGCATTTAAAATTTTTGAAATATCTCTTGAAAATAAAACGTTGGAATGTGTAAATTATAAATACGACTACAACAATATTATATTTTAAGTAAATAATCCATGTTTAATCCAAAAATGTTGAATTATTATATTGTTTATAAATTACTAATGAACTCAAGATACATAATAGAACTAAGTATGATAGCCACATTGTCTAAATCAGGTACACTCTAAAAATATTTTTCTTAAATCACAGGTTGGGATATATCTAACAAAAACAACGATATAAATATGATGATCTTTTTCAAAAAATAAATTTTATATAAATAAAATATTCTAAATAAAATATCATATACATAGGTATCTACGTGCGACACAAACGGAATTGGATAGAAGTAATAATAATTTATTCAATGTACCGAGTGTCCCAATAGTCATTGGACTATTTTGGGAATCAAAATAAGCTCACTAGACACAATTTACGTATTTATAAAGGTGCTTCGTTTGTCCGTTAGGGGACACCAAACTTTAAAAAAATAAACACATTTTTAAGATATTTTAAGAACCGTTATTCCGATTTGAATGATATTGTGGGTGTCTATGTTTTGCTAAGCACTGTAACATTGACTTTTACGAAAATCAAAAAAAAGTACGAGGAGGTTGAAAACTACCCCCACCCCTCTATAAATTTTAGTATAATTATTTTCCAATTGAACCGACCACCGATTTTTTTTTCGTAAAATAGTCCTTCTAGTATTTACTACATTTTTTGTCTCCTGCGAAAAAACGCTACCGTCCATATTTTCTGAGGAAAACAATATTTTTCCGAAGCTGACTTACAAAAAATGTGTCTTGTCACATCAAGCTATGTAGGCGCATAAAATATATTATGCGCTAATATTCCAGTTGGCAAAAATAGAGAATTTTATATTAGTGTCACAACTGATATTAGGCAATAAAAATAAACGAAGCACTTTTATATAAAAGTAAATTTTGTGCAATTAACTTATTTTGATTCAAAAAATACCTAGCTGTTAGGTTGTTATATATTTCCTAGGTCTACTTTGGAAAAATAAAATATATTTTTTTTCTCAAAAACTATGCAATTTGGCGTTTTTTACATGAGACAAAATATGTAGTAAAAACCAGAAATACCATTTTACGAAAAAAAATCTGTCGTCGGTAGATTTTGAAAATAAAATGGGTAATTTTCACCCTTCCCGGTTAGGTTAGGTTAGGTTGCTGGGGTTTGGGATCATGTTTGATCCCTCACTCGGAGGCTTTGGGCCCATTGTGATACCCCTGTATTATTGTACCAAACCTTCCTCCCATTCTTTCTTTGCCTTAAAGCACTTCCAGCTCTTTGCAAAGTTCCCGATGGCGCTGATGTTGGCTTCTGCTGCTTCCTCTAGTCCCTCCAAAAAACCTTGCCCTAAAGTTTTAAAGCGTCCGTATTCCAGTGTCGGACAGTGGCACAGCAGGTGTTCTATAGTTTCTTCTTCCTCTCCGCATTGTCTGCAGTAGTCGTCGTTGGAAACTTTCCATCTCACGAGGTTTACCCCCGTCGGACAGTTTCCAGTGACAATACCTACTATTATGCGTACTAGGTCCTTTTTTTCACCCTTCCCGTCTTTTTTCTTGATTTTTGTGAAAGTCAAATGGTAAAGCATTTAATAAAACATACAGACGCAAATCGGAATAACGGTTTAGTATCTTAAAAAATATGTTTATTTTTTTCAAGTTTGATGCCATTTAACGGACAAACGAAGCACTTTTGTAGAGGCAAATTGTGTTCAATGAACATATTTTGATTCAAAAAATTCATTGTAGTTGTATGTCCACAGAATATTGAGACACCCTGTATAAATTAATTAGTGTAAATTATTATCCAATTCTGATTTTATGCAATATAACAATTTACTGAGAAGTATTTAAAAATAATTTCTAATGAATGACAGCACGTTTGAAGCGTAAAAGGTTTTAAATAGGTATATCTTTAATTTTGTATATAACAACTTAGTTATCAATATCTTAAAGTGATAAGTGGTAAAAATTACAAATGGTGCAGATTCGGATAGGATATTATTGCTATTTTAGTTATTTGAGTACCTATAAATGTTTAAGTAGATGTGAAAGAGGGTTACTTTAAGAAATGACTAGATGGTGAACATATAATTTGTTAAAATAATATCGTTTTCCATAATATGCTCTTAAGCTTGATTTTCATGCGTCCGTTATCCGTTGATACGATGATTCAACGGCGCTGGCGCGGCGCGGCGCTCTATTTAGTCAAAGCGTTTTCGCGCCACCTTTCATCCATAATTTGTTTACTCCAGCCCATCAACGGAGAAAGATCATACGATAACGGACGTTTAAAGCGCTAGCAACATGGAGAAAACGAGAATTTTAAGAAATAAAAAAAAGGTTCTTTGACATATCTTTTGCCGTCTCTTCTCTGCTCTCCTAACCAAAGGGAGGGGCCGTCTGGCTGCCGGTAGACTACTACGCATCACATCTGTACAGGGTATACTATTTTCGAGTGGTTTATGGGATTTCTCGTTTATGAGTAGCGATACAATGGCGCGATTTTCATATTATTTTGCTACTTTTTTATGAAACTAAATATGCTACGCATATGTCCTAGCTTCATTACTTTCTGAAATACAGGTCGAATTATTGATGTGCCCTAGTGAACAAATGTTGAATACAGATGTGATGCGTAGTAGTGAACGCAACGTTTACGGGCAGCCTGACGCCGAATGGTCCGCACTCTATTCAGGAGAGCATAGCAAAAGAGATATTAAAGAACCAGCTTGCTTAAAATTCTCTCTCGAAAACGTTGTTAGCTCTTACACTATAAGTAAAATAGCGAAATCATTATGCTCATGAAAATATAAAATGACATCATCACAAGCCAATCGTACATCCGATAACCGGAGGCATGAAAATGCATTAAATTTAAAAACTGGGTAATTTTCTAACTAATCGATGTCTTTAAATTCAACCAATAAAGTTAATATCGTATCATCGTATCCTCGGATAACGGATCCATGAAAATCAAGCTTTAATAGTTAACAGAACTTAATATTTTAAGTGTAAACATCTTAATAAAATCTACATTTAAGAAAAAATAAACGTAACATATTATATATTTCTGAGTACCTATAATTTTTTTCATGACCGAATATTTAGACTTAAATATTTGATCGCTTAAATTTATACAAATTAAATCGCTCATTGGCGACCGACCATTTGTCATTACTAATATCTAATTTTTGAAAGCATTTGGTAGGTATAAATAATTCGAATATAAGTAACGTATATAAAACCGATAATATCTTAAAAAATATATACAGTGCTTTATTAGCTACACGTTTTGCGAACTTCTAATTAAATAATCTTAGGAAAAATAACAGTCGAGTACACTATTTTATGTACACTGTAACGGCCACTGAGACATCACTTGATATGTACCTTTATAAATTTAGTTCACTAGTATAGCGTTCTATTTGAGGTCAAGTTTCTTCTGATCTTCGTGTCTATTCATGTGCGTTTGTGAAGCTTTTGTAATGGTAGAAAAAGAAGATGAGAAAGACAGCAAAAGCCGTGGGAAATGTGATTCGAGCTATGACGTCGATCGTTTTCGCCACTCGTATTGGGTGGGGCGGTTCTTTTTTTCTCACCTGTAACACAGCAGCCTATTCAAAGTAAAATTGTTAGCACCATAAAAACGCATCTAAGCAGTTTGTACATTCTCTACATAATTTTGGTTATATCGCAGCTTCAAATTATTAGAGAAAAGTAACCAAATATGGAATACCATTTAGTTTTTCTGTTATACCGGGTATTTCTCAAATGTTGCTCATCCTACCTTTTTATTTTCTCAAATAAAAACGAGATTTGGTATGTTAGTATATGTCATAAATCAGGATTGATTGACGTATTCAATTGTTTTCGGTCACTTCCTGATGACACACTATATAAGAAATATATAGCCTGAAGTCGATAAAATATATAATTCTATAATAAATAGCAGGTTTAGTCGTGACTGACTAAGTTATGAAAAAACTCAAAATTTAAGTGAGGATGCAGTCCAAACCACACAGGCTAATAAAATTACTTTTTCAAATTTGTCAAGCTTTCGAGAATTTTATTCTCATCATCAGGACAGTTCCTAAAATGTATAAATAAAAAAGGCATTAACATTTTAAAATTTGTATAACAGAAAAAACAACTTACGACTGAGTCAATTAGCAAAAACAACATCCTCTGCACAAAAAAAACCTTAAAACTAGCATCATACGCTATTGGAATACAAGGACATTTCCTTTGTAAAATATTAAAATACATATTAAAAACGATATTAAATTAAATACATATTATTAAACGACATTACTTTTCTTTAAACAAAAAACATTTTTTTTTATATAAACTGCCCGTCAAATTAAATACCACAGCGATTTTTTTACTCAGTTTCAACGAGTTGTAACTTTGAAAAAAATGGACCGATTTTGTTGATTTTTTAGCATATTAAAGATCGTTTTTCGTAGATTGATCTGATTTTTCTAAATTTTGTATGAGATTTAGTTTTCTATGATATACAGGGTGTGAAAAAAGGAAATAATAATAAGGAATTCTATGTTTTGAAAGTTGATTTTTAGCTTTGATAGTGTAAAATAAATTCAATGAATATATTTTGATAGTTCGTGACCGTGGATGCTTTGTTTGTTTGCAAAAAAACTTTACAAGAAGTAAATGTCCTATACAGGGTGCTACAAATTCGATATACGCGCATTGGTATCTCGGAAACCGTAAGAGATACGAAGATGGTTAAATTGGGGCAAAGTTGCTCTTTAGGATATTCACCAAAATGCCATCAAAAAAGTTTTAAAAATTTCAAGTATATCTGAGTTTTTTGGAAAAAACGGATTTTTTTGAAAATCAATTTTATTTTTTCCTGGCGTTACTTTTAAGAAAATCAAAAAACTAATTGCATATTCTCATGGCTACTTTATTGGGGCTATCTGATAGTATTTTTATATTTTCAAATTAGCTGATAATTTGTGAGATACAGAGGCCAACTTAATTTGTTTAAATACGGACTTGCATATTTTATTCCAAGTTTTGAAAGAACTCCATCTCCTGAGTACAATGATATGCCACACTTGATACTTTTTTTTGTTTTAGGTACCTTAAGAATAACAAAACTATTTAATTACTATTTAAAATAATTTCAAGTCCGACTCTGGTTTTTTAAATTATTTAATCTGATTATATTCATCTCAACAATATGGATCAGCGCTAATTAACATTGAATAAGGAAAATCTAGCCAATTGAAAGATTCAAATAAATCATATCCAGGTCAGCAATTTGAAAATCTTTTTTTAACTTTTATTATTGTGAATTTGAAATCTCCGTGTACGATCTAATAATATGCATAATATTAATCGTAGTTATTATAAATAAATGAACTTCTACAAATAAACTAGTAAAACTAGTTTCCAATGCTAACAGGTTCGAAAGGGTTATCACCGTCCCTAATGCACAAATTTATTTTTCGTTCAATCTGATTTATAGCTCTTTAAACATATCTTCCTCTTATACTTCCGTGCTCTTTCTGTGCTCTTTATTGTAAATGTTGAAATGTATTGATATCACTTTTAAAAATGACGTCAAGTAATGCCCAATAATTTTATATGATTTTATTGCATTTGATTTTCCGTATTCAATGTTTTACCCCACGTCATTGTTAAGTTTGAAAGCTTATCAATATTGTAACCATGAATAGATTAAATATTTAAAAAACCAGAGCGGGACTTGAAATTAGTTCAATTAAGTTGTGTTCAAATGTCCGAAACAAAAAAAATATTAAGTGTGGCATATCATTGTACTCAGAAGACCGAGTTCTTTCAAAATCTGAAATAAAAAATGCAGGTCCGTGTTTAAAAAAATCAAGTATCCTCTGTATCCCACAAATTATCAGATAATTTAAAAATCTAAAAATGCTATCAGTTAGCCCTAATAAAGTGGCTATGAAAATGTGCAATTAGTTTTTTGATTTTCTAAAAAGTAACAACAGGAAAAAATAAAATTTATTATCAAAAAAATCCGTTTTTCCCAAAAAACTCAGCAATACTTAAAATTTTCAAAACTTTTTTGGTGGCATCTTGATGAACATCCCAAGGCGCAACTTTGCCCCAATTTAACCATATTCGTATATCTTACGGTTTCCGAGATACCAATGCTCGTACCTCGAATTTGTAGCACCCTGTATATAAAAAATCTTTTGATAAGGAGACTTCTGGAATTTTCAGTTCATTGGTACTTTATTAAACAGTCACTGTTTGATCGAGCTCGAAACAACAATGTAGAAATTAGTTTAGTAAATTAAAAAAAAAATGTTATTTGTTTTAAGAAAAGTAATGTCGTTGGATATGTATTTTAATATTTTATTAAAGAAATGTCCTTGTATTCCAATGTCATATGATGCTAGTTTTAAGGCCTTTTTGTGCAGAGGATGTTGTTTTTGCTACTTGACTCAGTCGTAAATTGTTTTTTCTGTTATACAATTTTAAAATGTTAATGCCTTTTTTATTTATACATTTTAGAAACTGTCCTGATGATGGGAATAAAATTCTCGAAAGCTTGACAAATTTGAAAAAGTAGTTTTATTAGCCTGTGTGGTGATTATTGACTACATCCTCACTTAAATTTTGAGTTTTTTTTAAATTCTATAATATATATTAAAATCAAAAATAAGCATTTAAAATTTTTGAAATATCTCTTGAAAATAAAATGCTAGATTGTAAATTATAAATACGACTACAACAATATTATATTTTAAGTAAATAGTCCATGTTTAATCGAAAAAAGGCTTCAATTATTATATTGTTCATAAATTACTAATCAACTCAAGATACATAATCGAACTAAGTATGATAGTCAAATTGTCTAAATCAGGTACACTCTAAAAATATTTTTCTTAAATCACAGGTTGACACTTCCTGACGTTGGATTTTTAAAGGACAGCCTCGGTATTTTTTACTTTAACCCGATAGAAAATGACACTCTGAATAGAATGACAATATGTCAACTTTTAACATTTACGCATATGGTTTATTTGAAATTGAAACATGCGGTTCATAACGAAAATTTAACTCAAAATACCAAGTGCGTTTTACCAAATAATTCGTAAAAAATGCTTTTTCTAAATATGCTAATGAGCCACCCTCATTCCATTTGAAAAAAATTGAGATATGGTTAAAAATATGACTTGAGCATCTTTTAACTGGCGACGCGACACAAAAAATCAGCCAAAGACACGAAAAACCTTAGACGATCAAATGAGGCGTCAAGTTACAAACAAAAAACAAATAACAAAAAAAAACTTATTCATTTCTTAAAAAGATAGCCTAATGACATATATTAATAGTGGACCCTGAAATCTACATAAACAATCCCAAATTGCAGTAAAAGTCGCCTATTTGTGTATAAAATTCACTACAAATTACTTTAATGCAGCAACATCCGTCTCATCCAGTTATATTTGCTTTTTATTGTCATTATTGTTACAAATCCAGCATTTTTTTCATAATTTTTTTTACAGAAGTATAATATTACTACTTACGTCTTTTCAAATCCTTACTTCATTTTAATAAAATACTATATTTAATGAATCAAGTTAAGATACAAATACCGTATGATCGAGAAAAACGACGTCCAGTTGGTTAGGAAATGACGATTGATGACATTTCCCATTATAAATTTACATATAAAATGACAGCGTTCTTCATTTCATAGCCATCGCTGACATCGTTTTTCTTGATCATATTGTATAAAAACCGGCAATATGCGTCATACTGCAACAAAACCCGCCTTATCTCAATTATTTTTGTGTTTTTCTCTGTTTAAAAATTAAATAATAATTTTTTATTTCTAGAAAAACGAGATATACAAAACAATTGTGGGGCAAGACGGGTTTTGCAACTTGACGCCTCAAATCTATCTTTTGAAGACTCCTTGGTTAAATGTTAGTGTTTTTAACACAGCCATTAGCCATGGCACTTTAGATTGATATTTGAAATACGATTTTTTAGAGCGAAAATGTCAAAAGTTGACATATGATAAGCAATTGTATTCAGAGTGTTATTTTCTATCGAATAAATTAAAAAAATACCGAAGGTTCCATTTAAAAATCAAAAGTTGTACAGAAAGTGACCGAAAACAATTGAATACGTCAATCAATTCTAATTTATGTCATATACATAAATTATATTATATTAAAAACATACATATTGTTAAAAAAAATGTTATAGGGGTGAGACACGTTTAAGGAATACCCGGTATAAAAAAAAGTATTGTAAATCAAATTTTTTATTCTTAGTTAACAGCCATACAGTTTCTGTTACATACATATATTTATTTAAAGTATAAAATTTTCTCAAAAACAAATTGAACATAAAGGCACCTAAATATGGTATAGATACCCAAATATGAACCACTATAAAACAAACACTTCAAACTAATCAAAAATTATATATCAGATTTTTTATTAAACATATTGAGAAGAAAAAAAGACCCACAGCGCTTTCAGATGGAGCGGACCGTACGCGCGGAGCGTCCGCGCGGTTTTTTTTCAGTATAGCTCATCCAGACGGAGCATACGCGACCCATGTGAAATCGTTCATATAAACTCATGGTACTTGCTCGAAGTCGCGGACAGTCCGTCGCGGACGCTCCGCTCCATCTCACTTTGGGATAAATCAGTTAATTTTGACCAAAATGATAAAGTTTTACAGTTCTGTTTTGTTCCTCAAAATATTACGTAAATATTGAAAAATCCCTATTTCATGATGTGGATAACAAAAAAGATCAAAACACTAAGTAGGTCATGCGTGGCGGCAACGCAAAGTAAGCTGTGTGTGTCAAAGAAAATAATTGTTTCTTTATCGCGTCAATTTAGTATAAATTTAATTTGGTGAATGTGGCGAATTAGATTTCGAGCAATGTTTTTTTTGTTATGATGGAGACGAATACTCATGGTAAGTAATAAGAAAAATATATAATGCTCAGTTAAAAAATATATTTTCTACGCATCTATTGCCAAAAATGTTAAGCAAGGTTTAGCGTTACTTAAATTATTCATTACTTCTTTTCCGTTGGAACTACAAAAAAATGATTGCAATTGATTGATATCGGAATAACTTTTCACAGTGCACTGGAATACCAGCTAAAATAGCACGTATTTAATTTTTGCGTGAGCTTGCATAAATACGTTTTATACGTACTTATAGCACAAGTCGTAAGAGTACCGGGTGGCCAACTAAGAACGGACCTCGGCCATAACTCAGTAACCGTTAATCTTTTTGACTCGGAATAATTTTTTTTAGGTAAATCGGCCAAGAGAAATCGCTGGAAATTATTTTCAAGTTCCAAAAATGGCCGTCAGGGGGCCCAACTGGTAGGTTCAATCAGAAAAACAGCTGTTTCTTGCAAATATGCAAATAAAGGTATGTGGTATGGAAGAGTGTGTGGTACCGAAGACTGTGGTAATCTAGACACTTTTCTTGAGGATCTAGGCTTAGCTAACATTGAACTTGATACAGAAATGTTAAGTAATTTAGTCATAACAGTGATAGTTCTTAGATTTAGATAAAAAAAATATTTTCACAACTTTCACATATCTGCATTATCTACTTTGTTCGATTTCCATTTATTTCTTTGTAAAGGTAAATAAATTTCATTAACTGACATTGTGTTTTACTGAAAAAAAATAATAACATGTTATTTTCAACACACATGTTTAGATCACATTCAATTATGAAAAATTGTCTAGAACTTGCAATAATAATTTTTATTTCCGTTTAAACAAAAAAAAAATTAAAAAAATGACATGAGATTTTTTTTAAATAATATAAAATATAAGATAAAATTTAACTTAAGTTTCTCTTAAAAGCATATAATACTCAAACTGATTTGGAAAAAAACCATCCTAAACCCATGTTTGGTTTTTTATCCTTTCATGGCCAAATAACTGAATTCTATCCTATAGTGCATCTGAAAACGCTGTTAAAACAATCAAACAAACATGTAATCAATGCATTGGCATAATATTTGTATACAAATATTATTTGCAATCGCTTATCAAGAAATACTTACTTTCTAAGTACCTTAAAAACTTTTCTCATAGCGCTGAAAGAAAACATTGTCGCCGTGGCCGCAAGGCCCGTTAAATGACAAGGCAAAACCTGCACGTGAGTATAATGATCGAAATAGATTAAAATCACTGTCTTTTGCGATTAGGTCTATTCGTTTCCGAGAAATAGCGGTATTCCATGTTAGGGATACTATTCCATATTTAGTTACTTCCCTCTACTTAATACTAAATAATACAAAGACTATGCACTTCAATTGAAGGGCCCAGGGGAAAAACTTTATAAGCGTCAATTTCTTAATTTCAGGATTTTACAATATTATAGTAGGTCTAACTGCACAATGTATAAATTCTGCAGAGCAATAAGTTATTAAATTCAAGAGGCCTAGTAAAAATATTGGATTCACGGAAAGAACCTGATAACCACCAGCTGTCCAGCGTTCTCCCGTAAAATTAGTAAAATGGCGCTAATCTTGTTTTTCCCCTGGACCCTTCAAATATTAACTTTAATTGATTTAACCAAAATAATTCAATAACCGTACAAAGCTGCAATTTAGAGCAATAATTAAAGTAAATACAATTAGTTAATTACCTCTGTTGGGCAGCCATTATTTGTATGCGAACAAGGACTAGGTCCACAACTTGGACATGTACCAATCTCGTTCGGAACAGTCGTAGAGTCTCGCTTTTTATCACCCTGTATAAATGAAATATTTTAAAATATGTCAAAATCATATTTGAAACTGGTTGTAAAAATTGCACACATTTTAGTTTTTGTTACAAATAAAACAAATGAGTATATATAAAAGTAAATATAGATTACTTTTCAAAATATGTAGACAAGTAAGGATGAGTTATTTTCATTTTTAATTGTTTTTACAAATTTTGAAATAGACGAAAAACGAACTTTTATATTGAAAATTATTAGAAATTTAAAAAAGGAAATAATACAGGATTAGGGTTGACGTTTTTCCGATATTTTAGAAATCCCTAGAGGATTATTAAAAGCTATACAGGTGTCCCAGGCTGAGCATGCATTAGCAGTTTCTAGAATATAATATGTCTATAATATCTAGATCGAAGATTTTTTGCACATCATTGTTTCACAACGAGATTTATCGATTATTTAATCGATAAATCTCGTTGTGAAACATTATTTTCAATATGGCGGCACTTCCGGAAATACCGGAAGTTGACAGCAACTTTCTTATTTTAAATAAATATTTTAGTGTATATTTAAACTCTCTGTAAAATTTTATAAATTTTGATATCAAACACTCTATATCTAACAATAAGCGTTTTTGAGAAAAAAATATTTAACATTTTTGAAGGAAATAAATTGCCTGTCAAAAAAATTTGTACAGCCTAAACGTCAAATTCAAACTACAGCCACTGTGATGTGGCTATCTGTTTCAAAAAATCGAAAAATTATTCTAATGTCAAATAATATTGGCCGTAGCTGTCATGGTATTGAGCGATTAAAAAAATATCATAAATATATTTTTTTTTTCAAATGGAAACCTACTACAATTAGTTACTTTTTGATTATACATGTTCCTATACCTAAAATAAACCGTTTTTAGGTTATTTAAGATTTAGTTCTAAAGCATAATATTTTTTTCGTATTTCGTATATTATAAATAATGCTGCCGTAAAAATTTATAAAATGTATTTATAAAAATATATCTCGTATTTTCTCACTTAAGTGATATCTAAAAGTGGATATTTTTGATAATATACCGCATGATCGAAAAAAACGACGCAAAGTTGGCACGAAAATGCGATCGATGACATTGATTTTTTAACAAAGTTTTAAAATATGACATGGCTAGATATATTAGCTTACTTCGGGTTTCTCTTATTGCCGATTCTGAACCGTCCTAGAACTGTGATGCGTATGCGCAGAAGAAAATATGAAGACATTATTTCATTTGCGCATGCGCTGCAAGGTTCTGGGACGATTCAGAATCGGTATTAATAAGAACCCGAACAAATCTATTTTTTGACATCGCTTGATGTTTAAAGTCATAGGCTACTGGTTAAAATCAAGAAAAATATACGTTTTATAACTTAATATTAAATAATTTAATAACGATATATTTTAGGTATACGTAGGAACATGTATAATCAAAAAGTAACGAATTGAAAAACTTTTCACTAGTGTAGTCACTAAATAAAAAAGTAGGTTTCCATTTGAAAAAAAAATATTTATGATATATTTTTAATCGCTCAATTCCATGACAGCTACGGCCAATATTATTTGACATTCAAATAATTTAATTGTTGAAATATATATTCACATGTCTCCTCTTTATGCCGCAGTGGTAGTCCCTAAATTTGACGTTTAGGCTATACCATTTTTTTACAGTTTTGTTCATTCAAAAATTTTAAATATTTTTTTTTTCTCAAAAACGGTTAATATTAGATATAGAGTGTTTGATATCAAAATTCATAAAATTTTAGAGAATTTAAATATGTAATAAAAAATGGGGGTACCAATTTAAAATAAGAAAGTTTGGTTTGGTTTGGTTAGACAATAATGTGCGAAAAATCTCTGATATAAATATGGTAGTTCTCTAGAAACTTCTAATGCACGCTCAGCCTGGGACACCTTGTATAATAAAATTCATGGGGTTATATCAGTTTTTGGTTTGTTTATAAATAGTAAAGCGTAAGAATAAGTAAAAGTTATGTAGTACCCTTGGTAGTACTGAAGTTATCCATATCAATTTATTGATTGTTTTCTTGTTTCTCTAAAGATATTTTAATTATGCATGTTAACGTAAATTCAACGTCTATATAGGTCTCTTTCTATATAGGTATTTAATATTTTTCTTAATTGCCATGTAAAAGATTTTTGCATATACTTGTACTACTCTTAATGCTGCTATGCTGTCCAAAATTTATTTTGTAATCTAAATTTACTATAATATAAATATAAAACAAGAATAATTGATATACCACACAAAAGTATTTCACATTCAAAACCAATCAAGTTGTTTAAACGTATTTTTGTTAATGATATATGAGTGGGTTAATATGTAGGTTTATAAGAAAAATGTTATTTAATGCAACAAACTTGACGAACTTACTAGATTATGATTAAAAGGACTTTCACAGAATGTAGAAAAATATTCTTGTTGGGCAGTCTCCTGATAAATAATTAACAATTAGTTTTAAAAGAATAAAGTTAAATATGATAAATGTAGATAGAGGTATGCAAATTAAGATAATTTAATTGTGTTAGTAAGTATTCTCAGTCAGGATACTAATTATATGTAGTCTTTTGTATACCTAACTATAGTTCTTCAAATACGTTATTAGTAGAGATGAGAAAAAAATCACAAAATGCGATTCAATCGCAGCGATCGCAAGTTGTAATTTCGTAGGTTCTCATAGAAAACTGCGATTGCGATTTCTTCTATTAGCAAGTTTCTGAAACGAATTTAGGTAACCAGTATTACTAAAGCTGCGATTTGTGAGTATGTTGCAATTTTGTTGCGATTGTAATTTTGTAAACTGGGATCGTGATTTCTATCTACTAGTAGAGTTTGAATTTTTAGGAGTTGCGATTTGGCGATATTGTTGCGAATGTAATTTCGTGGTCTATTTAAGTATTTTATTTAGTAAACTGCGATTGAATTTTCTTTCTGATATTATTTATTTACCGAGAATGTATTATTTTCTAGGGCCACGATCATAATATACCGGGTGTTTCTCAAGAGCGGTTTACCCCCTGTAACTTTTTTATTTTTTCTGATAAAAAAACAAGATTTGGTATGTTAGGATTGATTGACGTATTTAATTGTTTTTGGTCATTTCTTGGTTCACCGAAAATGATTACAACTTTTGATTTTTAAGTGGCACCCTCGGTTTTTTTACTTTATTCGATAAAAAATAACACTTTGAATATTGTTGAACTTTTGACTATTTTGCTTAAAAAAATGGTATTTTAAACTTCAATCTACAATATGTCCCCGGATTGTCTTTGCAAGAGGAAAAACTTTTTTATTATTGATATTTTGAGAAAAATTCATTTTTCATAAAAATTTTTGCTTGTTTTAAAATGGTTAATTCCGTTTATACTTTTTCAAATTTCCATATCGTTTTAGACAAAAATTAAGAAAAACATGAAATTATGATGAATTTTTTTTCAAAGTCCCGAAAGTCAAAAGTCGTTTCTATGGTAGAATTTAGAATGAGTGGGAGGGGGGTTAATCACTGCGACCTTAGAGATCTACTGTGTCCCCCTTTCTTGAGTTATAACTCATCATACAGTCCTAGGGCGACAAAAGCCAGTATCTGTTTCTATTGTAATATCAATTCGATTTCATTCTTTGATAGATGTTTGATAGATGGTTATTATTAATTTTGATTAACGTCATTTTCTTTGTTGTTGTTAAAGTATCACATTTTCCGATAACTATCATCATCCTTTCCATAGTGTTGTACTAAGTAAATGTTGTGCCTCTCTAACATTTTAAAACAACAAAAAATATTATGTTAATTAAAATTCTATGAATAACAGTCTATCAAAGAATGAAAACGAAGTTACATTACCATAGAAATGCGTTTTGATTTTTAGGACTTCCATCCAAATTCCTCCATATTTTCATGTTTTTCTTAATTTTCTCTAAAACGGTATGGGAATTTGGAAAAGTGTAAACGGGATTAACCATTTTAGAACAAGCATCATTTTTTATGATATATTTAATCAAGATGCCTTGGAAAAATAGATTTGATCTTCTATTGATTTTCGTGCCTTGTCCTGGCCAGTGAAAAAAGATGCCCAAATCGTATTTTTAATCATATCTTAATTTTTTCAAATGGAACGGGGGTCGCTCATTGGCATATTTAGAAAAAAGATTTTTTATGAATAATTTCGTACCACACACTTGGTATTTCAAGTCAAATCGTCGTTATGAACCGCATGTTACAATTCCAATTAAACCATATGCGAAAATGTCAAAAGTTGATATATGATATGTCATTTTATTCAGAGTCTCTTTTTTTATCGAATAAAGTAATAAAAATACCTCGAAAAATACTGAGAGTGCCATTAAAAAATCAAAAGTTGTAGTTATTTTTGGCGAAACAGGATTGAATACAAATCAATTGAATACGTCAATCAATCCATAATCAATCCTGAGTTATGTCATATACTAACGTAACCAATCTGTTTTTTTTTATCTGAAAAAAATTTAAAAGTTAGGGGTGAGCCATTTAAAAAGACTAATTCATTTAGATTTTTTAAGAATTGGATAAAGAATTAGATAATTGAGAACCGGTAGAAAGAGTAGGTATATGTAGTTGGAGCAGTTGCAGCATCTATAAAGTTTTAATACCTATAATGTGTTTCAGATCTTAAAAAAATGAAAAACTAAACAACTGATTATTATTAACTTTTTTGAACTGTTAAGATACGTACACAGACAATTATATACCTAGTGCAACATTTAAATATTAAAATCGCAATCGCAGGTTACAGTCGCTGCGATTTAATAATCGCAGTCGCAGTTCCAATTGCTACTGGAGAATCGCAGTTTTGCTTATCTCTAGTTATTAGTGATTAGTATAGATATGCGTTGCAAAGCTTGACGCTTTTTTATTAACCACGCTCCACCGACACCCTCGAAATAACATTATTTTTAGGGTGCCAGTTTATCTCATCGAGGAAATCGAAATGGACAAAATATCAAGATACAACTTTTAATCGTCTTTAAATAGTCTACACGCTTTTGTTAGTATGAAAAAAAAAGTCAGTGACGTATATGTTTTTTAGAAAAATATTCTAGTGATAACGCATATGCACGTCCCTGGTGAATCTGTCGAAACTATTTTTAGCATTAAAATATGTAGCACTCATAGTAACTTTTACTCTTCAAATTTTATTCAAATCGCTAAAAGCACTTGGAAGAAAATTAAAATAAATCGAAAAAAATGAAGGTTTTAACCTCCTGTAGCTACGAAACAAGGGAAAGTCCTTGGCAAAGTCAGACCCATGTTGATATGAAAAATAAATTTTATTTTTTATGCGAGGAATCTCCCCACAAAAGATGGCGCATGTTTTTTGAAACACTCTGTATACCTATACTCTCGTTCTGATCCAGAATGAAAACAACATATTAAGAGAGCATTACTGAACGTCTGCTAAAGTAATAAGAACAAAGAACACAAAAGCTCTCCCCTAAGTACAAGATGAAAACTTTTTTAGGAGTTCTCTTATTTTTATAAAAATGTTAAATGTTATTCATTCTATGTTACATAGGTACTGTATTAGACATTTTGATTAATTGCTTATTAGATTAAAAAAAGGGTTATTAAAAATCCATTAACGGATCTTAGGTCAAAAACGAAAAAGAACAAAGCAATCTTTGTTTGTAACCAATTAATACAATTTGATCTACCAATAATTACGTTAATATTTAAATAGAAAATCACGTTGAGACACCTCTAAATATTAATATTAAGAACACAAACTTAACCATATTTTTTTTTCATCATGGTGAACGATAGTTTCATGCTAACTAAGATAAAAATAAATATATTATTATTTTGGTGCATCCTAATGGTTCCCATTCCTTACATATTTTTCTTGCATTAAGCCTCTTGTAATGTAATTAATACTAAGTACTAATACCTAAGTACATAATACTTTTTTTAACACTTCTTGTTTTCCAATTTTGTTTTTTTATGATTAAATTTTTTATGGAAAAAATAGTTTTCATATTACATACCCTACAACCCTCGCTACATCCTTAATATCTTTATATGAGATATCTAGACTATATCATATCAATTATGTTTGTGCTGTATGTATTAAAGGTTAAATCAAAAATTACATGCGAAGAAACTAGCATTCTTCTGTATTTTTCACATAGTTTTGATTGATAGAAATAATTATTTTAAATGTGAAAAGGGGCTTTTATATTTTAGGTGGTGAAATTAGACTAACTAATATTGAATTAATACAAAAGAATTGCACTGTTACTGGCATTTTTAATCATGCTTGTGTGTTAATAGCTTTAGCTGGCATGAGCAGGTAGCATGCTCATACAAAAGTTAATATACTGGCCGTGCAAGTTGTTTTTAGTAAGCATATAATTTATTTTTAAGATGTTGCTAACTAATTTTATGATAGTCACACTTTTTATTTGAAATTATTTGTTTTGTATTTTCTAATAATAAAAATTTAATAACAAATATATTAGATGACAAAAAAAAACATAATGCTATATGCAATCCACAATGCTATATTCTTTCGACTCATATTTTTTTTTATTTTAATGTAGTTCATTATTTCGTTCATTTATTTATGATGTTACGAATAGAATATCAAGTTTTAATTATTTTGTATAATTTGTGAAATTAATGCAGTTATACTAAATATTGCAATAAGCCTTTTTAATATGTTTAGTAAATTATATCAAAGGAGAGTTTTAACAGAAATCTATAAACTTATTTTCCACAGAGATACTACCACTATAATTTTAACATTCTCTGAATTGTAATAATTTATTTTTTTATGCAATTTATAATGTTATTTTCAATATTTATAAAATTACCACTAATGAATAATTTCTATTGATTTGTTATATTATGAGATAGTTAATATAGTTTTATGTGTAGATACTACATTCTTAAAAGAGTGCGTAAACTAAGTTATAAGTTCATGATGAGACTGAATAGAAATTAGTTGAAATTTTTTTTCTTCTAGAAATATTTTGTGTGTAAATTTATTATTCAATTCCTAAATTATAAATAGTTACTCTTAGAATGTAGATTAGTAATACCATGTTTTATAAAAACTTTTAATTCAATTTTGAAAATCAATGTTTGTTTGACAGTAGAAGGCAAAGCGGTTATTCAGTAATTCAAGATTGATTTTCTACTGCAATTGTCTTTATTATGAACTATTTTTTTTTCAGTTATAATTGTATATTATAATATATATATAACTGATACAGGGTTATTCAGGCTTCCGAAGAAGCTCCATATTAGGTTTTTGGTTTGTGAATTTCATTTTAATTTTTTTACTTAATATGGGAGCAATGGAAACGTACATTTGGAAAATATTTTTGTCAACATACATATTTTCAGATTCAAACATATATTTTCAAACCAGAGTTGTATATTTTTAAATGGAATACTATATTTTTTTACATCAGTAGATTTACCATTAAATTTCCATTCCAAAATACCATAATGTCATATACTATACCGAGTGGTTTTTAAAATATTACGATTTTTAAACTAAATTTACTGCTTATTTAAAGTTCTCTTAAAATAATTCTAAATTCAAAATTTTTTTATTTTTTTAACGATATTAAGTACTGTTTAACGGTTTAAGTACTGTATAATAGTATATATTTCATAATTAAATGGGGGGTACTCTGATTCACACTTACTTATATTTTTGTAAATATCTTAACATTTATTTTTTATGTCCTTAAAATTTTTTATAGTTCTTCGAATTTAGAATTTTAAGAGGGCTTTATATAAGCGGTAAATTTTGTTTAAAAACGGTTATATTTCAAAAACCACTTGGTATAGTATATGACATTATGGTATTTTTGAAACGGAAATTTAGTGGCAAATCCACTGAGATAAAAAATATATTGCATACCATTTTAAAATATAGAAGTTTAGTTTGAAAATATGTTTGAATCATCCTATATGTTGACAAAAATATTTTCAAAAAGTGCGTTACCATTGCCCTCATATTATGTAAAAAAATTGCAATTCATAAATCAAAAACCTAATATCGAGCTTTTTCTGAAGCCTCAATAACCTTGTTCAAGTGCAAAACGTGTCTCTGTACCTGTATTAATTAGTACATTGTACATGATATCGATGATAAAAGAGCAATCAAATCTTTGACTAAATCATTAAAATATAACCAAATGAAGTTTATAATAAATATATTTGTAATAAATTAAGAAAGAAAACAAGGTTATTGTTAAATATATCACCTTAATTTGTAACTAACAATAACATGGGATTGCGAAATATGCAGTTATATAAATTAATTAACAAATTGCATTTATTAATGATTGTAAGCTTTACATGTTCTATAATTGCTGTAAGCTTAACGCAATTCAATAATTATAACTTTCTGTTTGCTTAATGGAAAGGCAATTAGCATGAAATTAAAGCATTATTATACTATATAATCCTACTAGTACCAAAAAAAATTCTACATTAAATTAAACAATTTTGATTTATTTTATTTGTAAATAATAAATTGACATATATTTTATATTTTATTAATTTAAAAAAAAATGTCTATTTGATTACTGATTGAATATACTAAGTGCGACGTACAAAATTATAAGCAAATCTTAAAGTTATGTCTTTACTGAAAGCAATTTATGGGGACAGAGGCAAAATGCTCGCGGTATAATATGCTACAAAGGCTAAATATTTCAGGCGCGCTCAGGGCTGGCTTTAGTTAATATTAGGGCTATAGGCTTACCAAGGGACTGGCCAGTATAATGCCTATCCTGCTCAGCACAGCCGGCAAACGCTGCAACATGACAAGGAACAATCTTAAGAACGATGCGTCAGTAGCACAAATAGCTAACCGAAAAATACATATCTGCTTTTATAAGAGCAAGATATAAAACTCAAATTTTTTTATAAGCAGTTTCCGATTAATATTGTTTTCTATGTTTAATTTTTTAAGTATTATTTATTCATTTTTAACTACCTATATAGGGTGCTACAAATTATAGGTACGAGTATTGGTATCTCGGAAACCGTAATAGATACAAACATGGTAGAATTGGGGCAAAGTTGCGCCTTGTGATGTTCACCAACATGATATCAAAGAAATTTCAAAAATTTCATGGATTGTTAAGTTTTTTGAAGAAAGCGGATTTTTTAGAAAATCAGGGTGGCGCCTCTCATACGTGGAGGCTCCAAGGAGAACGACAGTTTATATTGAAATGAAATTTTGTAAGCTAACGTAGGTTAAATTCAGAGCACATTTTAAAAATATAGAGAGTTTATTTACATATCAAAGTTGTGTTTTTTGTAACGGAACACATCCTAAATATTAATAGATTTTCGGTTTCTAAGAGAAAAATAAAGGTGAGTTTTAATAGAGAATATATGACTAAAATGTAAGGTTTTTGACATATTTAACAATTTCTAGAAATAAAGAACAATTTTTAAAGTACAATAAAAGCTACCTAAATTGGAATTTACCCGGTATAGGCTAACACGTAGTTAAATTAACTATTGAACTATTGTACTTTAAATCAAATTAAAACTTCATCTAAAACGTTATACAGGGTGAGACAAAATTAATATTGAAAATTGTTCACCTTTAAAAGCATGTTACTCTTTTATTTTAAATTGAGCACCCAGTATATTATTCCGATATTCAATGGGGAATACCTGTCTATTCGAAATACTATTAAGGTTGCCTACTCCTTAAACAAAGATTTTCCTAGATATTTTCTTTTACATGATTTCATCTGAGTAGATCTTTATTATTTGATAAAATCTAGGTGGCTGTGATATGTCTGACGTTACTTCAACATAGCTGTCTAATTAGTCTACCTTCAACAACTAGTTATCATTTTGTGTCAGTTAAAACAAAGAAATTTCTCAGAAATTTGCCTAGAATGCAAACTTATCCTACACCAGAGAGAATTGATATGATTCTATTAGTTATAAATAGTTAAATGCTCACGTTAAATAGGCTACTTAAATGCTCCTTAGGTAGCTGTTATCGAAATTTGAAATTTACTCTTCATTTTCACAAAATGTGAAATAAGTCAAAATACTTAGATTTTAGGTATATGGTCCTTTAATAAAATTCACCTTTATTTCTTTCCTAGAATCCGAAAATCAATTAATATATAGGGTGTTCCTTTAGAAAAAACAAAACTTTGATGTGTAACTTTTTTTGAGAACACCCTGTACAATTCTATATATTTTTATAAAATGCTTTCAGTTAACCTACATATGCTGCCAAAATTTCATTTCGAATAAACTACCGTTCTCCTTGGAGCTTCCGCGGAGTATGAGAGGCGCAATCCTGTAGCGGGTGTCCCACTAAGAATAGCTCTCGGCTGTATCTCGGAAAGTATTAGCCGTAAGGCTTACGGAAAAAAATATTTGTAACTAAAGGGGCTATGAGAAATTGCTAGAGATTATTTTCAAGTTTGTAAAACGGCCGCTAGGTGGCGCAACTGCTATGGAAAATAAGAAAATATATTTTTTACAGAATTTTGCCTATATAATGGGTACTATAAATAATAGCTTCATAATCTTCAGTAAATTTTGGATTTTTCTTGTTAGAACCATTTTCCCCTATCTGCTAAAATAAAGTGGTGGGGGAACGTTAGATCTATTTTTATTTAAATGTTAATAACTCCGGACTGGATGATCAGAATCCAACAAACGAGGGCTCGTTTAAAAGAGCGTTTCTTACTCTATATTATACCATAAAAATAATAATAATAAGGTTTTGAACGTAGACGATAGGGGGCGCTTTCTTACAATTTAACAAATAAAGCGCGTTTTTTCAAAAAATTAAATACGATAGTATGTGTTATTTTAGCTGATAGTAAAGAGTAGTAAAAGCTTAAAAAGTCAGCAAAAACCGTATCTTCATATCTTCTTTCAAACCGAAGATATTAGCAAAATTATAATAAATACCGAAAAATAAGCCCTTAATTGCTATATTTTTACAATACAGTATCAGTAGCCCTCTTGATTAGGCCCATTCTAACAAAAAAAATAAGATAAAAACAGTTAGTTTATTTTAAAATCGACGAAATACCAGAATACCATAATACCAGATGTATTAATATCTAATAATTAAGATATTAATAATAGTAAACAAGAAACGATGATTCAGTGAAGTCATGGTGGGCTTTGGAAAAAAGTTGCTTTTCGCGTAATAGTATAAACGTCAAATTGTTATTAGTTTATTTCAAAATGCCAACAACTCGAACTACTTCAAATAATAAAGGCATTTTGAAAAAGCATTTAAAAGATAAAAAAACGCTGCTAAGACTATCAAAATGTTGATCTAATAACAATTTATAAATAAAAATAACGTTTATACTATTATATCAAAAGCAACTTTTCTCCAAAGCTTACCATGACTTCACTGAATCATCGTTTCTTGCTCATTATTATTTATATCTTAATTATTAGATATGAATACATTTGGTATTATGCTATTCTGGTATATCGTCGATTTTAAAATAAACTAACTGTTTCTATCTTATTTTTAGGTTAGAATGGGCATAGTCAAGAGGGCTACTGATACCGTGTTGTAAAAGTATTGTAATTAAGGGCTTATTTTTTGGTATTTATTATAATTTTGCTAATATCTTCGGTTTGAAAGAGGATATCAAGATGCGGTTTTCACTGACTTTTTAAGCTTCTACTACTCTTTACTATCAGCTAAAATTACATATACTATTGCATTTAATTTTTTTGAAAAAACGCGTAATGTTTGTTAAATTGTAAGACAACGCCCCCTAGCGTCTACGTTCAAAACCTTATTATTATTATTGTTATGGTATAATATAAAGTAAGAAACGCTCTTTTAAACGAGCCTTCGCTTGTTGGATTCCGATCACCCAATCCAGAGTTATTAATATTCAAATAAAAACAGATCTAACCTTCCCCCACCACTTTATTTTGGTAAATAGGAGAAAATGGCTCTAACAAAAAATATTCAACATTTACTGAAGATTATGAACCTGTTACTTATAGTATACCTTATCTAAGCAAAATTAGGTAAAAACTCCATTTTCTTATTTTTTGTTGCAGTTGCGCTCCCTAGCGGTCGTTCTACAAACTTGAAAATAATTTCCAGCAATTTCCCATAGCCTCTTTAGTTACAAATTTTTTTTTCCGCAGCCGCTACAGCTAATACTTTCCGAGATACAGCCGAGAGCTATTCTTAGTGGGACACCCTGTACATATTCATAACCATTTGGACGGACCTGTATTTTTATATCATGTTTTGAAAGATAACATTAAACGATTCAAAGTTAAGATATTAAAAGATTCAAATAAAAAATATCCAGATCAGCATTTTTAAAATTAACTTTTTGTATTATGAATAATTTGAAATCTCAATATACGATTTATTTTGCATAATATTAATTGTAATTATTATAAATAAATCAACTTCTACAAACTAGTTTCTATTGTTCTACATGTACGAAAGGATTACCACACTCCCTAATGCGCAAATTTATCTTTGTTCAATTTTATGTACAACTCTATGAACAGATCTTCGTATACTTCCGAATGCATTTTTTACTCTTTGTTGTAAATGTTGAGATGTATTGATTTCGCTTTTACAAATGACGTCAAGTTATGCCCCTCAAAGGAAAATATCCCTTGGCGACAGGCCCAGATTGTTTATTTATCTGAATGTTTATATTATGTTATATTTATATTATTTTTTATTGTTCTAATGATTTTCCGTATTCAGTGTTTTACTACACGTCATTGTTAAGTTTTGAAGATCATTAATATTGTTACGATGAACAGATTACATATTTTAAAAAACCAGAGCCGGACTTGAAATTAGTTTAAAGAAATTGTATTTAAGTGCCCGAAACAAAAAAATATTAAGTGTGGCACATCGTTGAACTCCTTGAAGAAGGAATTCTTTCATAAACAGAAAAAAAAAAAAAATAAAAAAGCCAGGTATTTAAAAAAATTAGTTGGCCCATCCTATCTCACAAATTATCAGCTAATTTGAAAATTTAAAAATACTATCAGGTAGCTACGATAAGGTGGTTATTAGAACGTGCAATTAGTTTTTAGATTTTTTTAAACGTAACGACAGGAAAAAAATAAAATTTATTTTCAAAAAAATCGTTTTTTAATAACTTGAAATGTAATAATAATAATTGAATTTTTTAAAACTTTTTAGATGGATTCTTCGTGAACATCCCAAGGCGCAAATTTGCCCCAATTTAACCATGTTCTAATAAAGACAACAATGCTCGTACCCCGAATTTGTAGCACCCTCTATAATTTAGATATGAATATCAAAATATAATCTTTTTATATAAAATGAGCCTAGGTTAAATGTATGCAAACACAATTTTTAGAGTTGATTTTTATATGATCATAATATTTAACTTAAGCCATAATTCACTTCAATTTGTCTGATAAAATTTAAAAAAATAATTAAAAACAATAAAAAATAACATAATTAAGAAAATGCATAGGAGTTACTTTATAATATTAACAGCCCACGTAATTAACACATTTTACGTATTCATACACAAAGTTTGAAGTGAAAATTTTGCAAAATGTTTAAACATTTTCCTAAGGTCTACATGCACAAGGCAGCATATTCTGTAGTTAAAAATAAGTAAAAAAGTTCGTATAATGTCCTAAAATACTTAGTTTCAGAGATACAGGGTGTAGAAGTTTAATTTTTTTTCGATATTTTACAATTAATTTCTGCAATAATGTCAATATTTGGATGAAAATTGGTGCCTGGGAGTTTGGTGGGAGAAATGATTTTTATGT